TGTCGCAAGGGCTCCCGGCCGCTGGCTGCGTCCTGCAGAGGAGCATCGCGGCGCTCGGGAACCAGCCACAGCCGCAGGTAGTGGGCGAGAGGCCCAGAGGGGAGGGCGCGGGCGCGGGGCGCACCCAGGTGCGAGGAGGTGCCCGTCGAGGTGCGGGGTGGAGGACTCACCCGAAGAGTGCAGGCGAGAGGACGGTGCAGGAACCCCGGGTGCCCTCTGCCCCGTTGCCCATGGCGCACTCCTGGTGCCTGCAGCACCTGGGTTGGTGACCAGGCTACTGTGCCTCGGGAGGTGGCGGGCAGGAGAGCGCCGATGGGTGGTTGGTGCGGGCCGCGCTCCCTGCACGTGGGCTCCCTGCCGTCAGGGCACAGCACGGTCCCAGAGCCGCTGCCGCCTGCCAAGCCACTACCTGAGCGCTTGGCTCTTCCTAGCCAGGGTGTGGAGGAGCAAATTTGGCCCTTGTGCTCAGCCATTCCCATCACCCCCCTGCAGCTGTAGCTGGAGCGCGGGACAGACAGCCCCCTTTGCGCTCCCCCTCCCCCGCCCTGGTCCCGTGGGTACAGGCTCCACCCCCCACGCTGGTGAAAACCCCACTACCAGTCTGTTCCCCCCGCGCTGTCCCAGGCAGTATTTGCCACCGCGCACTTGGGAAACGGAGACACTACTGGAGAGGGCAGCACTGCACCCCGCAAATGACCGAGTCAGGAGCGTTCAAGTACCGTGTCTGGCCCATAATGTCACCGGGTGGCAGTTGTTGTTCGGTGCCCTCAGGTCGGTTCCCACTGCCAGGACAACCGAAGGAAGCGCACTGCTGGGTCCTGCCTTGTCCTCACCATTACTGGGTTTAAGCCCACTTTCAGCTGCTGTGTCGTCCACCTCGCCTTCCTCTTTTTTGCTGACCCTCTACTTTTCCAGACATGACGCCCTTTTCTGGGGACTGGTCTCTGCTCATAACGTGCCCAAAGTAGGTGAGGGGAAGGCTTGCCATCCTTATTTCTAAGGAGTGCAGTGGCTTTCTAGCAGCAGAAACCTGAGGTTGGCTTTGTCCCCAACCTCCACTCACTAGCAGAGTCTCCTTGAGCACTTTGCTTTACTTCTCTATACCTCCGTTTCTCTGTAAAATGAACATAATAACATCAGCCTTTCAGGGTTTTTGTGAGGGTTAAAAGGAAATATGGCTAAGAGTCATTTGGGTATTTCAACACTTTGCTCCCCTCCTGCCTCGATGAGCTGTTTTCTGCTGGATGGTCAAGGGTGACCAGTTACATGGCCAAGTCCAATTCGGAGTGTCAGCTCCTGGAGGGCAGAATGTGGGCTGTTTCATTGGCCAGTGACTAGTGCCCTATGATTTGTATGATGATGGAGAGTGGAGAGGCATGATCTTGGTGCAAGCACTATGGAAGATGCAATGAAAAGATAAGCAGCAGCCGGAAGAGGCAAGTAACTGACGGAGATCCTATGTGTCCTGGAAGCCTTAAGGCGAGAGTCTCATTTCTTCTGAGCAAATGAACCCATGCATTAGGCTATTCCAGTGGAAGGCAACAGTGTGGTTAGGGCTTGTAGCCAGAGTGCTGAAGACAGTGGGTGGCACGTGGTAGTACTCAATTAGTATTTCCTCTGTGTGTGTGTGTGTGTGTGTGAATCGCATGTATCATAAGATGAAGACATTGAAAATGCAGAGAAGGTAAGCTATTTACCAAGGGTCAAAACTAGGCTATGTGACATTCCAAAAATGAAAGTTTTGTCCTCCACAACATATGTCCCCATTTCTTTTCTTTCTCACATTTCTTCAGCATTCTGGTTATGTTTACTTAATCTTCGTCACCTCCCAAAGTTAGAATTTTCACTGTCTCTGCTCTCTTCCGCCCTGTCTCCAGTCCCCTCCTGTTTGTCAGGTGTGTTTGTCAGCCTTGTCCCGTGCCATTCTCTCCTCACACGTGAACTGTGCACCGGCAGCAACTCGCAGCAGCGCTGAGCTGCGTCTTGACTCTTAGGGATACAGGAGCAGACACAATGACAGCATTATGTTCTTCATGGTTTTGCTTTCCGTTGATAGGAAGAACTGCATGTCCTGTGTGTGTGTCCCACTAACCTCTTGGTTTGCGGATTCTTTAAGGATAGTGTTTTTCCCTCTTTGGTATTTTCTCATAGTGTCTGGAAAGCCAACACCATTCTACTTCTCCCTGCTGTCTCTAACAGAATGAAATGTTTTTATCATGGTAGGTGCATGTTTTAGTCTGCCTATTTCATGACCAGTCTTGCAGGATTTGACGGGTTGGTTAGGTGTCCTTCGGAGTATTGACAAGCACTTACAAGATGCTTTGTAGGTTTGCTTTGTGATACAGGCTGACTTCTGAAACAACATGGCAGCCACAGTGCCGTCCACATGAGCTCATTGTCTGTTGGTGGAGTTGTGTGTGTGTGCAGTGTAATCATGAGCTGCATACAGTAGTATCAAGTACCCGCTTGTGTGGCACATAGCATTTGGAAGCCCCACCCGGCAAGTTGAGCAAGTTGGCAAGATGCCCTCTGCCTCTCTCAGTCTGATGAGCCGCATTGGGACACTGCAGCTCTCCCAGGTACACGCCCTGTAGAGGTTTATGAACATTGGTTTGGAGCTCAACAGACCTGAGTTCCACTTCCCATTCAGTCACTTCTAGCTGTGATACCTGGAGCAAGTTGCGTAAGCCCTCAGAGTTTCTTATTCCTCATCTTTCAAAGGGTGGTCACACCACACATTTCTCAGCAATGAGCTATTATTATCCCAGGAGCCCTGGTGGGACACTGGTTGAAAGCTTGGCTCCACAGTAGAGAGGGAGCTGGAGATCTCTTTCCGTAAGAGGACAGTTCTACGCTGCCCCTGGGAGTCAGAATTGACCGGGTGACACCTCGCATGATCATTGCTATCCCGGCAGCATTTCAAACCATTGCTGCAAACTGCAAATAAACTGGTAATGCTTGACAGGCACTTCCGACAGGAGAGAGAAAGCGAAGATGGGTAAGGTGAGGGGCCTCAACTTCCCACCTGACCAAACGTTCTCCCCCAGAGTCCTGAAGATGATGACAGGAAGGTCCGAAGGAGAGAGAAAAACCGAGTTGCTGCTCAGAGAAGCCGGAAGAAGCAGACCCAAAAGGCTGACAAGCTCCATGAGGTAGGACCTCGGTTGGGGCAGAGCCACACTGACGCCATTGGGAGGAGTAGCCCTCCGATCTTGCCCTGTGGGGTTGGTGATGCGGTCCCACCGGCCTGTTGCCACCACTCCAGCAAAGCATACAGTAGAATCCTGCCAAGCCCAGGGGCTGGCTGCTGGTTCCTGAGCCCATGGTCTGATTCCTTGCTCCCTGCCGTCTTCCTGCTCGCCCCCCACTGACTCCTTCCCACACCCCCATGTCTCTCATCAAACCAACCAAAGCCTCTTCTCAGTCTTGATCCCCTTGCAAGCACTGATCCCATTTCTCTCTTCCCTACACTTCCCTATTTCTTAAAAAGATGATCGTACACATCCCACCTCCACACCTCGTCAGTCCCAGACATTCTGTTTTAAGATTTGCCCAGCTGTCCCAACATCAGCTCCCTGCGCTGGTGACTGGCAGGTGTACGAGGTACGTGAAAAGCATTGCCACCGGCACGTTTCCACATAGGTGTATTCCCAGCAAGACGTGTTGAAATGGGTCTCTGCAATCAGTGGATGGCTGCAGGCAAGTTTTCACAGTAACACACTTGCTTTGGTCTTCCAAAAAGAAAAAAAAAATTGATCAAAAGAGTGGCTTCTGAGGGTATCCACTGGGCCAGGTAAAATTCAAGGCAGAGACATCAGCTGGGAAGATGAGAAGGTTATGGTGACTGATGTGTCTTTGGGGATTCGAAAGAGATCATCTTGAAAGATTTCCTTGAAAGACTTGAGGGCTTCTTAAGAAGAAGTTCCAAGACCACTGAAAACTGCCTAGGTGAGAAAAGGCCAGGAAAGTTGGAGTGAGGATTTTCCCCTCCATCACAATGCGCCCGGTCACTCCTGAGGGAAGCTGGGGCTGTCCTATGAGAATTTCCTTAGGCAATCTCATCCCGTACACCTTACCGCCCTCGTCCTGTCTCTTTAGACTTCTGTTTCCCAGCCTTTTTGAAGGAATACCATTGGAGTCCCTCGGGGATGGCCAAACTGCTGTTTTGATGACGTGTGACCAGAGAGTGCAGGACTCTCGTGGGAAGGGCGGCAGTTGTGGTGAGGGGCCGTGGAGTTGACTTTGATTCATAGTGACCCCACGCCCAATAGCACGAAACACTGCCAGGTCCTGCCTGCGCCATCCTCACCATCTTGACGTTTGCGCCCATTGGGCAGCCACTCTGCCAATCCATTTCGGGGGGGG